GGGAGAGGGAGATGCAGGCTTCCCGCTGAGCAGGGAGCCCGATGCAGGGCTCGATCCCAGGACCCTGGGATCATGACCTGAGCCGAAGGCAGACGCTTAACGACTGAGCCACCGAGGCGCCCTCCACTGTTTCTTTTAAAGTAGAAGCTAATGTAAACATAAACACACATTTACAATATGCATATACATATATACTCAATTACGTGAAAGTATCAAAGGTTTCAAAGTTTGTTGGTGGATATTCTGGTTATATTTGGTTAGATTTGTCGCTATAGTTTTTTGCTATTACAAATCGTATTCATTAAATAATAGGATGTAAATAGCATTTTGTATTTTTGCCAGCTTCGTTTTAGCATACGGTCTCAGAAAGGGGGTTGGGGGTCGAATGGTGAAGGCACGTAACGTTTTTCTAGATATTGTCAAGCTCCCCTCCACAGACTCGTATCACTGTGTTCCCACCAGCAATTTAAGAGAGCCTGTTTCCTCACAGCCTTTCAAGAAAGTAGGTTCTCAAACTTAGGGATTATTGCCAATTTGCTCGAAGAAAAATGATATCATTAGTTTTAATTTGCATTCTTTTTAAGAATGAGGTTGAGCATTTTTTTTTAATATGTTTAAAATTCATTTGTTTCTTTTCTGTGAATTCATTAGTATCCTTTGCTCCTTTTTCTACTGGGTTACTGTTTTTCTCTACTTTTGCTCTTTACAAATTAGGGATATTAACTTTTGTGATTTAAATTGTAAATATTGGGGCACCTGGGTGGCTCAGTTGGTTGAATGTCTGGCTCTTGGTTTCCCCTCAGGTCACGTGGGGTCGCAGGATGGAGCCCCGTTTCAGGCTCCGTGCTTACCGGGGAGTCTGCTTGAGATTCTCTCTCCCTCTCCTTCTGCCCCTAACCCCCCCCACTCTCCCTCTCTCAAATAAATACATCTTTTAAAAAAATGTAAATATTTCCCCCAGTTTATCACTTGCTTTTTGTTTTATTTCTAGACATGCAGAAATCTGTTTTTATATAGTCAAGTTTATTAATTTCCCTTATCACCTGTAGATGGTGACTCATGGTTGGAAAAGTTTCTCTACTTCCAGGTTCTAAGAGTTACCTGTATTTTTGCTAGTATCTAGATGGTTTCATTTTTACATTTAGATCTTTGATCTAATTGGAATTTGTATGGTGAACAACGGATCTGAGGTTATCTTTTTGCATAGCGATCAGGTTTTTATCTTTTGCATCTAGCTATCAACTATCATCATTTTTCAGATGTCTTCCACTCCTCCCCTGACTTGGATGCTACCTATTATCATAACCAGGTTTCCATGTGCACTTGGACCGCACCGTCTCTTCGTGTGTCAGGATTGCATTATTCATTTCTAAGTATGTTTTGTCTGACAAGACAAGCCCTCCCTCCTTGCTCTTGCTCTTTGCAGGGATTTCCTGGCTACCTTGCTTATTCTTCCTAATGCGTTTACAACTAATTAGCTTATCTAACTTTAAAAAAATCCCTAATGTTATTTTTATCAGTATCACATTAAATTTTACTCCGAGAGGACTGGCATCTTTCTGATGAAGAACCTTGCTATCCATGAATGTGGTAGGTCTTTCCACCTGTCCAGTTGTACTTTTGTATCTGTCAGTAGTGTTCTAGCACTTCTCATGTAAATTTGGCAGATTTCTTGCTAAGTTTTTTTCCTAAATAATTTGGTTTTTGCTACCATAGATAGGGTCTGATCTCCATTATTTCTTCTAACTGGTTATTATTTGTATATGTGAAGAAGATTGTTTCTATATATTACTCTTACATCCTCTACCAAATACTCTGTAGTTTTCCACAGATTCTTTTGGGTTTTGCAGATACATAATCATCTCATCTACAAAAACAGCACCTGCTTTACTCTTCCTAGTTTTTAGGCCTCTTGCTTTTTTCATTTATTTTTTGCCTAACTACATTGGATACAACACAATGTTAAACAATAGGGGATATGGTGTATCCTTATCTTGTTTCTGACTTGAATGGAAAAAACCTCTGGTTGTTTTCCAATTGAGTAAGATGCTGGCTTTGGGGAATACGCGTATGTGCATGCACTCCCCTTTGCGAGAGGAACTCTCGATTCTCATTTAATTGTTTTTACTATGTCAGTGCCTTCCCATATGTATAAAAGTATAATTTTCCTCCTTAGCTCTATTAATCTATTGAACCATCTTGCATTCCTGAAATAAATCTCTCTTAGTCAATGTTAACAATTACAATAGGCTAGATTAAGCTGATGCAGAAATGGCCCCTGATTTTAGGGGCTTATGATGGTTATTTCTCGTTCATGCTGCCTGTCTCACTGTGCGTCAGCTATAAGCTCTTTTACATACGTATCTTCACTCCAGGACCTAAGCCCCTGAAGTAGCTGCAGTCCAGAACATTACTGATTTTAGGGAAGAGGGAAAAGAGGACATGGGGAACCAAGGGCTGGCACTTAAAGCTTCTACTCAGAAGTCTTGCCTGTCACTTCCACTCACAAATTCATTGGCCAAAACAAGCCACAGGGTGACACCTAAGTTCAAGGCAGGGATATATAATCTTCTCATAGAGGAGGGCACTGCAAAGGGATAGGCACCACAATATTTTGTGGAAAATAATACAACAGACCACTTACTATGTGTCACTGGACTCAGTTTGCTAAAACTTTGAATTTTGCAACAACATTCATGGGAGAGATTGGTCTATAGTTTCTCACTTTATAAAACTAACTTGGAAGTAATAATTACTCAAGACTGCAAGGTGACTGACACTAATGTGGTAGCTAAATTTAAAAGCTAAGTATTATATGGTGGAGGAAAAATAATTTCTGCCTCAAAGGCTTATTATTTGGTGATACGAGACATTTAAAATAGTGCATGTGATCTGTGATACATACCCTTGTCTGATAGGCCTGTTTTCTCATCTCCCACTATTCTACCCGGGATTGTAAAATGCCAGTTTTTCTGTACATGTTCCTGACAGTACTTTCAACTGAACAACTCTGCTGAAGTTGGCCAAAAGGCAAGCCTGGACCGTGAGCAGGTTACTAAGGAGGCGAGAATCCTGTGGGTGGGGACTGGAGGTTTTCCCAACATCCTTCCGCCACCTCCTTGACCCCTGTGGTCATCAGGCCTCCCGTGTGGACCAGCAGCTTTTGCCCAAGCATCCCGACAAGCAGTGTAAACATTGCCTCACTTGTAAGCCAGGCGCTTGGTATTTAGTCATATTTTTCATACGGACTAACTGAAAACACCAAAGAGTCACGTGGCCTAAGGCTGGTTGCCTCCAGAAAACCCTCGAGCTGCTGCCTACTGAGCATTCCCTTGACCTTTCCACTGGGCCGGAGACCAGAGACCACTGTTTGTCAAGTTCGGGAGGTTTCATGTACATGTAATTTATTTCAGCTTCCCCTCTGCTGTAAGCAACTTTACCAAAACCGGGAGTTGAGACCTTGTCTTATCAGGTATTATCAAGTCCCCGGACTGGGGATGGTTGAAGGGAAGAGAGGGAGGAGGAAGCCAATTCTCGAACAGTGGAGTAACTGACAGTAAAATGTGCGATTTACTGGTAGTCCTACCGGCCCTGTCATGACACATTCATCATGGGCTCTTAAACCTTCATGAACTGTAGAAGCCTGTGCTCACTCCAAAATCTACGATGGCCACAGCCACATGCAAAATGTAGCGCTGGCACATGGCACGGCCCACTTACCTTTCCAGGGCTTTCTTTTACTGTGTCTTCAGCTAACCTATACCCTGGCCAAACTGGGTATCTGATTTCTGGGGCACAGCTCACACTGCTTCCGCTGAGGCCTTTTCTTGTGTTGGCTCTCTGCACTTGTCTGAAGTCCCAGATCTCAAGGCCCATCAGACTCCTAGATTTCCTCCTCAACAGTCACACACGCTTCTCCATTTCAGCACCACTGCCTGAAACTCTTGCCACAGTATCCTAATAGTCTGTGACTCTCCAGTCCCTCGCCACCCACTCAGCACGCCAGCTGCTACGCAACTTCCAGGGCAGAGAGCGTGCCACATCTTGCAGGGGAAAGGCACGGGGGAGTCATGCTACCGTTGTTGGCTGTGACTTCTAATCTGTTGGCTGTGCTCTCTCCTCCCCGGTTTTTACAATTCTTATAATTCTCGTGAAGCCCCTTCTCCAGTCCCTGGGCTGTCCTGCCTATTAGAGGGTATGCCAGGGGCCCTTGCTCAAATTGCTTATGGGGAAGAGTTGCCCTTTCCTCTGACGACCGTGTGGATTACGAGATGACCTCGAGGAGTAGTTAGTGGAGTCGATGGCTGAGTCACAGTGATTACTGGACACACAGGAAGCAGTGGGCTGCAAATACACATCGTCGCTATGCTCAAAGCAAGGAAAGACCCGGTCTGTCTACTGCAACGACCCAAGTTCCGGCCTGTCCCACAATCATACCAGAAAGTAATAATTACATACAAGGAAGTAAACTTAACTGGAAAAAGCACCCAAGATGGTGGCTTCCAAATAGAAATGAAGGATCTTTTCATGATCTAATACTATTTCCTGTCAGATTAAAGTCTCTCTTTTTTTTTTAAAGATTTTATTTATTTATTTGAGAGAGAGAATGAGAGAGAGAGAGAGCATGAGAGGGAGGAGGGTCAGAGGGAGAAGCAGGCTCCCCGCTGAGCAGGGAGCCCGATGCGGGACTCGATCCCGGGACTCCAGGATCATGACCTGAGCCGAAGGCAGTCGCTTAACCAACTGAGCCACCCAGGCACCCAGATTAAAGTCTCTTAATTCAAACTCTACACAAACAAAAACTGTCACTTGCTCTGACTTCAGAGCAGATGACCCACTCAGGCCCTGCTTTTCTATGATTTGGCAACAGCATGAAGAAAACCAAGCAAACACTGTAAGGAAGTAAAAGTTGGAGAACAATCCGATATGAAGCAATACATAAACTGACACATATACAATAAACAGTAACTTTTAAAGAATAAAGCAGCACAAACTGTGTATACAATGTTACCATTTACTTTAAAAGATTGTACAGACTGTAGTGTTTATCAACAAACACAGGGCAAAAGTGCTCTCAGGGAAGACTCACTTTTCGCTCTAAACTCTATTCAAAGAACGTATGTTTTTAAAGAAACAAGCTCCAGAATAGAAATAACTTCCAACGATTAAAGGCCTCATGCTCTCCCAGCATGTTTAAGCTCAATATTTTCTAAAAGGCTTCCCTCCAAAGAATATTAAGATTCTTATATTAAGATTCTTATATATATTATATCCTAATATTAAGTAGGAAAAGAGCTCATGAATGTCCTTTATTGTAGGCAATTATAACCACATTAAGGGGTGAAACTGGCCTTTTCAAAGCAAAGGTATCAGATTTCTGATTTTCATCAGCTGCGGTGCTCAGAGGGATGGAAGATCTTTGACGTCATAATACTGTTCCCTAAAAACAGGTAAAACCTAAAGGTGTGCTTCTTGAATATGGGGTTGTCTGCAGAACAGAAGGATAAGGACCTGTAGCTTTAAGCTACCATTCCTAAGTTAGTTTTGCAAGTGCTATGTAGACATATGAATATTTTAAGCTTCCAAAATGTTTGGATTAAAGCAGTTATTTTGCAAATCTTCCATCAGGCAGACAGCCGGTGACTAAAACAGAAATAGGGCGCCTGGGTGGCTCAGTTGGTTAAGCGACTGCCTTCGGCTCAGGTCATGATCCTGGAGTCCCTGGATCGAGTCCCGCATCGGGCTTCCTGCTCGGCAGGGAGTCTGCTTCTCCCTCTGACCCTCTTTCCTCTCATGCTCTCTGTCTCTCATTCTCTCTGTCTCAAATAAATAAAAAAAAATAAAATAAAAAAAAACAACAACAGTGAAGCAAAAAAAATAAATATTCCCAAGGGATTGAGAATGTTCACAAGCTACTTAGCCACACGAATTCAGGGTAGGGCATTCTAATGTTAACAATTAGAGACCTCTTCAGTGCTAGTAAGTCTTGGGTCTTCTCACTGATGGAACTGAAAACTCTGGGGAGTGGGGGAGGGGGGAGGAAAAAGGAAAGATGAGAACTAGCAAAAATTAACAAACATCTTACCGATTCCTTTTATTCTGTACTTTGTTTTTAGACAGTGAACTATCAATTAAATCTTTATAAATTTATAGTAATACTTTCATTTCTGATAAAAAACCCCACAGTAGTTGTGGTCAAATTAGAATTATACCGAAACTACCATATGCCAGAGCATCCAATCACCCCTGCGGCTGGACGCCTGGCTCCCAGTCACGGAGGGCACGTGGCAATGAGGTAAGGGCCGTGTTTGCAGCAAGCGGAGTCTTTCTGATCCTCTTTACTCCTTTTTTACTTCACGACCAGTGTTCCCACTGAGCTTGAACATGGGAATCTGCTGACCATCCTCAAGCTTTAAGAAGACCTCCTGAAGGTGCCACCTGAGAGAAACCAGAAGATAGTCTCTCTACTCACGTACACCAAGGCAAAAGACATGGTCGGGAAAAAGAAAAAAAACAGCAGTCGTTTTTTGAATAATGTCTTAAAAGTCTTCAACACTACTGTATATTGGAGCTACGTTCACAGAAGGTTTTAACATTGTAATAGGGCCTCTCACTGTTTCACCAGCGTCACTGTCACGGCAAGTTTAACAAAGAATGAATGACAGGAGAATGGAAGGGGCACCACGAAAGAGACGGCGCAGCTTATCCCCCATTTCCTAATTCACACCCACCTCCGATTCCTGGCTGGAACTCAGCCAGCAACTTCATTAATCCCAGGCTCAGGGGTCAACGAGCCCAGGGGGAAGCAGGTGGGGGTTGCCTGGGGGCCGCCTGCACCTTTTGTCCTGGGGAATTAAAACGCATCTTGGCTAAAGAGCAAGCATCTCTGAGAGAGGCCTCCCGAGGGGGAAGTGAGTGAATGTAGCTGTTGGCAACCAGACAAGAAAAGCCAATTACTGGGGTGGAGATCTTATATAAAGAATGTGATGAATAATTCTGGAATGGGAACCCATGACTTTAGTCATTTGTAACGACCGGGAGACAGTAGCGTTAGAAGCTGTAACACAGCGTCAATTATCGTAGATCTAGACCACGGTAACTGGAAAGTTCTTCCCAGTCAGCAATACAAGGAGAGGACAATTCAGTAGATTGTACTGGATAAAATGTCTGGACTAAGCTAAGAGCCAACACACTGGCTTGGTGTCCAGGCTGTGAAACTTTTCAAGCTTTGAAAAACAAATTCCTATTCCTGCAATCATTTCACTACAAGTGAAAATGGGAATCAGTATTGTTTCCATCAGAAAGTTCCCCCCCATTCCCACCCACCTTCCCAATACCTCTGAAAGGGGGCATCTCTTGATGAGATGACATGCAGATGGCCCTCTGACTTGGGTCCAGAGACAGGAATCTTCAACTGGGGGGTTAAAAATATGAGATACAATTGGATACATTGTTGTCCTCTAAGGAAATGAAAAAAATGATGTTTTTAGAGTGAACCCAAAGAAGTCCAATGATCCTTCACAGAATCGGTTGTTTTCTAACTGAGCCTAGCTTGTAGAATTGACCTGATTTTCCATCTGGCTCCATCCAAATGTCCTGCCCCTCTGTGGAGGGTTTGGCGAGGTCAATGGCAGTCCTCCTATTTGGCAAAGGGACCTTATGTGCAAACTCAATGCTCTGAGTACTTACAATGATATTCAAAAAGCCACTGCTACAAAAGAACAAACTACAGATACATCCAACAATACGGATCTCAAAGACACGCCAAGTGCAAGACCTTACCCAAGAGTATATAATGCATGATTTCAAGTTCCGGAACACGCTAAACTAGGCTGGGAAAAAATAACAGAAAGTGGCTGTCTCTAGGGGGTGCTGAGGGACGTGAGAGGATCAGTTGGGAAGAGCATGCGGGACTCTGACGCGATGTGAACAGTCTACATCTAGATGGGGGCTTGAGTTGCACAGGTGTATGCATTTATTAAAATTCATCAAATAAGAGATTTGTACCTTTCCCTGAATGCAAGTTTTACCTCAAAAAAAAAAAAAAAGAACCATAAACAAATATTAAACTCTGGTTAATGATATGTTGCTTATGTGCTTAAATGAAGTGTATGGATGTTTGAAAATAATGTATTCATGGACAGAGATATGACTAGATGAACAGATATGGGATAAAGCAAATCAAGTAAAATATTACAGCCGACCCTTGAACAAGATTTCAAGATCTGCATCTAACTTTTGGCTTCCCCAAAACTTAACTACGAATAGCCTACTGTTGACTTACTAATAACATAAATAGTCGAGTGACACATACTTTGTGTGTTATATGTATTCTATACTGTATTCTTACAATAAAATAAGCTAGGGGAAAAAGTGTTAAGAAAACCATAAGGAAGAGCAAATACATTTACAGTACTGTACTGTATGGAAACAACTCTGCGTATTAAGTGGGACCATGCAGTTCAAATCAGTGTCATTCAAGGATCAACTCTAGTTGTAGAATCCAGGTAGCAGTTACATGGGTGCCACAGTGTGAATTCTTTTATCTTTTCTGTCTGTTTGAAACTTTTCATAATAAAAGAGAAAAAAAAACCCACGGTTTAAAAAAAGGAGCCCCCTCATACCCCACGTGAATAAGCAGTCACCTCGTCACATTAAGGCAGTTCCTCAAGGTTCCACTTTTGGAACAGAGCCACAGCTCTTCTCGGGATTATAAAATTAAGCCTGGGTGCCTTCGGCTCAGGTCATGACCCCAGGGTCCTGGGATCGAGTCCTGCATTGGGATCCCTGCTCTGCGGGGAGCCTGCTTCTCCCTCTGGCCCTCTCTCCCTGCTTGTGTTCCCTCTCTCTCTCTCTCTAATAAAAAAAATCTTTAAAAAAAGGCTTTAAAAAATTAAAATAAAATAAAATCAAACAACAGAGCCCAGATTGAGCATCTCTGCATGCTAAAAGAAAACAAAAGAAAGGTGGGGGGAAGGACAGAAGCAAGCAGGATTATGAAGAGCAGCAAACATGAGGGGTCAATGTCTGCACTTCAGACAGCTGTTTCTCCGGGGGCCGACAAGGCGCTGCACAGACTCGTTTCTTCACTGACCAGGCCCTGCCAAAGAGTAAAGCTGAACGTCTGCCACACCAAAACCTGGGTAGGTAGTAACTACTTCGCACGTACACTCGGGAAAAAATACCCTTCGGTACGACAACTACCTCATGAACCACCGGCCCTTCTTAGCTGTGGACAAAATACACGAGCCACGAACAGGACTGTGGGAGAAACCGGCATGTGCTGTAGACACAAACAGCTGATGTAAAGGAAGGAGGTGAAGACTGCCGAGAAGATGTCGCACGTGCTCCATAAACCGAGAACAAGAGCTGGTGTGACAGGCGGCCCTGGGGCAGCAGCCCCGAACTCCCGTCACTCTGGAGCCACAGTGTCTGCCAAGCAGCAGAAGCCCGAAGCCGGGACCACGCCGACACGGCCATGGGTCTGCAGGAGCCCAGGGTGACGTGCTCTCGGCACCACACTCTCGGCGTGGGCCAGGATGCCGGGCCAGAGGGGAAGCTGGACCCGACCAGCGGAGCTTCCCCACACAGCCCCCATGGTGTCAACCACCCATCGGGGCACCAGACCACAGAACTGATGCCGCATCGACCGCCCTCAGCTGCGTGCCTGAGCATCAAAGCTAGGCCCTGTGCTCTGTGCCGGACGCACAGTGAGCAGCCAGACCCCACCCTTGGCCTTTCCAGGTTCTTGTGCTTGCGGGGATCCGGCCGATGGGGACACACAGAGGAGCCATACCACGTGGTGTGAAAGACCTGACGCCATGTGGCCCGCAGTGGGCACCCTGGATCTGCCCGCCCCCTCCCTTTCCTCCTCCTGGGCTCCTCCTCTCACGGAGTGGTACTACCACCTGTCCACTCACCCCTGTCGGGCACTAAAGCGTGACCTCTGACCCACCCCTCTCCTGACAGAACCGAGCCACAGCTCTGGCTCATCTCTCACCGCCACACACCTGCATGACCACACTGCTTTCCTGTCAATCAGCATGCACTTACCTTCTTCTAAAGCTAGATCAACTATTTTTATCAAAATCTTGAGCACGAATGGCTTTTGTAGGAAAAAAAAGCCCAATGAAACTATTCCCATTAAAAACATTACTAAAAACAACAGTAACAACAAAAACCCCCCTGGATGAGAGCATCTCCCTCTTTTTTTTTTTTTTTTAAAGATTTTATTTATTTATTTGAGAGAGAGAATGAGAGACAGAGAGCAGGAGAGGGAGGAGGGTCAGAGGGAGAAGCAGACTCCCTGCTGAGCAGGGAGCCCGATGCGGGACTCGATCCCGGGACTCCAGGATCATGACCTGAGCCGAAGGCAGTCGCTTAACCAACTGAGCCACCCAGGCGCCCGAGAGCATCTCCCTCTTATCCTTAAAGTCCTCATGGCTCCTGCTGGCCCCAGAATCAGGTGCACACCTCCCACGATGACGTCACGGCCCCGCAGCGCAGCCCACGCTCTGCCCGCACCGCGCCCGGCAGCCTACCCCTCCGCTGAGTTCACATAGCAGCGACCACAGCCACCTGCCTTCGCGTGCATGCTGCTCCTTAGCCTGGCACTCTCTTCCCTCCACCAGTATCCCAGCTTGCTACCTGCTCCCTCCTGGGCCACTGCTACAGCGTTTGCTTCACCTGGCCTTCCTTGGAGATTTTGAACTACAGCCCTGAAAGCCTTCGGCATCTCTGCCTTCCCCACAGAGCCCAGAACCATTCCTTTAACTTGACGCACGCTCAAAACATGTTTGTTAAACAGACGAGTAAGTGCGTTTCGTATTCGGTGACTCTATCAGCTGACCTAGAAAAGACAAGACGTAACTGAGAAAATGGACTGGCACCCCATGGAAGCAGTGCAAGTAAGCGAGAAAACTGCACTTTAAAGAGCTGCTCACACTTGAACGAGCACTGACTGGCTGCAGATGGGCTCCAAGTTCAAAGCTCACGCTGTGGCCCACCACCCTGGTCACTTCCCTATGACCTGCAGTTCAAGACGGTGACCCGAGCCAGAACACCGCCTGCCCCGCCGCACTGATTCCTCAGAAAGGAAGACGAATGTATGAGAATACATTAATCCGTAGTGCTTTTATAGAAGGTGCTCAGTAATGCCCAGTCGCAGCTTTACTTAATGGATTTTCTCATCCCGGGTCCTTACTCCAGCTCCCTCCAGGACTCTCCCCGGATGAAGGCAGCCCTCTCCCCGACTTCCTTCCGTAGGCAGCCAGCCTGCGGGCTGCAAGGGAAGCACGTTACCTGGGCTTCGGCAATGTCCACGAAGTTGTACTTGTCAGTGAGGCAGAGACAGTGGACATTGAGGGGAGTGCCCAGGGCTTCCAGGGCCTCGGGGTGGCCATGCAGGTGTTCCAATGCCTGCTGGTAATAGGTAGCCTTGGAAAAAGCCTCTAAAGGGGAAAGACAGTTGTTACATTTACTTTTCTGTTTTAAACTTGGTCAGACTCTCCGTAGAAAGTTAGAGGAAACAATTCATGTACAGCATGGAAACAGAAACAAATGTGAAATTTCTGGACGGAAAAATAATTAGGGACGGTTAACTCTAAGCTGTCCATTTGAGAGAAAGTCAGTACCTGCAGGAACGTGGCAGACAAACCTGAGCGAGGTACTTGATCTTTCTGTGCCTCAGTTTCTCCATCTCTCATTTCCCGCCTCATTTCTTCATCTAAGGGGTTGGATCTTCTCTAGCTTTCCTTTCAGTTCTAAAGCCCTATGACTCCATGACTTGCTCAAAGTGACACGGCTAGTTTGCGGCAGAGCTGGGGCCCAAACCCATGACTCTGGACTTCTAAACACTGTTCCCTCCACTCAGATGAAGGTCCTGATAAACCAGCATAAAATCAGACAGACCACAACTTCAACAACAACAAACCCTTGGGCCAAGAAACAGACACTGAAAATGCTCACTTGTCAAAGTGTTTAGATTTAAGGCAACATTTCCTGTAGGTAAAGCTTTTAAACTTTATCTCTTAGTCTCAGGTACATACACCTCTTGGCCCAAAGGCTACTAGTAACTCCAGGAAGCATCTCTCTAAAGGTGGAAGGTAGACAAGCTGCCCTTGTAGGGTAGGCTTCCCAAGTAGGGCTTGCAGTTAGGCCACAAGCAAGAGCTTCCCAGCCTGAGCCTGGAGATGCCAGGGAGAACGCTCCTCCTGGGCTGCTTCCCAGTGGTGGGCTTGCAGGGGCTTGCAGGGGCTTGCAGGCATGAACAGGTGCCAGCCAAGACAGAAAAAGGAGGAGCAGAAGCTGGGTCCAGATTTCCATGGTTAGACACTGTTCTCAATATTTCATACATCTCACAATTCTCAGTATCTCACAGGTTGTGAGCTTTATTATAAAACAACCTCATGCACAGACACTGATATTATCCCTCATCACACAGATAACTGAGGTGAGAGACCCCCCAACGAGGCCACACCGGCAGTGCAGAGATTCAGCTGTCTCTACTGGACGACGCCAGCCTCGTCGGTGGGGGGAAGGTCGGCAGTCACTGGACCCACAAAATGGGGTTGTGCCCTGTCCCCATCCCTGAGGCAGAGGGGAGAGGAGACGGAGGTATTCCAGTCTGAATTATCCCTGGCAGTGCTCATCTCAGGCCACCTCAGACTCAGGGACCTGTGGGCCAACTCCGAAGGAAGATGGGGAAGAATGTATGCAAAGGCCACTGAGCTGTCTTTGCCGGTCTGCTGGTGATACTCCCACCCGGGCAGGAAGTGAAAATGGCACACAGTCAGGGTGAGAAGCCAAGCTGGGCAGGCATAAAGGACCTTCAAAGAAAGTCAGCCTAGAAAAAAACTGCTGCTGCTTTGCAACCAATAGCACTGAAATGACCTTAAATGTCTGGGCTGCCCACAGTAATTGTGGCCTGTCTTTACAAATTCAGATCTGGGTGCAGTGGGGCTGGAAGCGCTTCTGTCAGGATTTTGCATCCTGGACTCTGCTTAGAGTCCCTTGCTCAAGGTCCCCTCCTCCACTCAATCAACAGCAGAGAATGGCGGGGCAAACAGGCTGACAACACTTGAGAAACAGCCAGTTTTCCCCACCTGTGAACCATCTGCTACTCCCCTTCCCTCTCTTCTTTATATCATCTCAGAAATCTGAAGGGATCTCTCATGTGCGCACCGGAGTGAAAGCCCATCTTGCTTTTTACAAGGCTTCTGATACAAACGAAGCCTGGTCCTTTTATATGCACGTGTAGTTCCAGGAAAAACTGGGATCAGAGGATAAGCAGGAAGCTATAGCCAATGGGAATGGTGTACGGCTTCTAAAAATAGCCCCCTCCTCCTCTCTCTAATCTGCCGAAAGCATCTGAAGTATTTCCTTTGATGGAGGAGCAGGGGTGAGAGCGCTAGGAGGAAGCCTGCCTGGGGCGGCTTGGTTTGCTGGATACTTACTTTGTATCAGGCAATATGTAAGGTACAGGTCCCACTGGCCACCACGCTGGAATAAAAGACCAGTTTCCCCTGAGACCATGGCATTTTGCTTCCTGGAGACTTGAAAACAAAAGACATGAATTTTTTGTTAAATTCAGGTTTCTGCCTAGGGCCTTTGCCTGGATGGGGCCCCACAGAGAAAGGAAAGCTGCAGAGGAAGCCAGTCAGGAGGCGAGGCCACCTTCCCTGTTTGCTTCCTTTCAGAAAGCCAGGGCTGGTTCTGGAGCCAAAGCAGAAGTGCCCTCCCAAGAGTGGCCCACATCCAGGACACAGGCCGTGGGGGCGATGGCTGAGCACAGAGCAAGCATTCAGCCCTGTTGTCTTTTCGGACAGAACCCAGCCTGTGTGCCAAGTCCTGTGTGGCCAGGAAGCACAACCACTTTGTCTCATGCCCGCTGGTAAACAGGAAGCTTATCCTTTTGTAGCAATAGTTGGCCTGATGAGCCTACGAATGGGCCGGCGTGGTCACTGGCTGCGTTCTTTCATATTTTGAAAAATGTCCCACCCCCTGGATGAGGAAACTGTGGTCATGACTTTCGGGATGAACGAAGAGATGGAGAGGAGCCAGCTCAGCTGAGTCAGCACACCACACCCACCTGGCCTTAGCTCCTGCCTCCTGAAGGCCTGGGTGGGGCCTGGAGCAGCCCCTGGGCCTCAATGGCACCCAGTAGCCTCCTTCCCGGCGGCCAGGTAACCACTGCTCACACCTGGCCGGGGCCTTTCTGCGAAGCTGTAAGATACCCGGCCATAAAACAGAGTAGGACACTGGCTTCGATCCGGGTCACCATTCAAATGCCCACAGGACCACAATAGTCACATAAATGAGAGCAGACACTGAAAAGTGAGGAGCGCATGGCCCAGCCAAGGCACAGCTTCAACCCAGCTCCAGCTGACAGTGGTTAATGTGGGCCAAATCTGAATGGATCTTCCAGTATTTCAAGAGGTCTTTTATGGGAAACTGTTCTAATTCTAAATGTGGACAACCAACTGAAAAACAACAACAACAACAAAAAAAAAACCCCAACAAAATGCCTATGAGTCAGATTCTTTCTGTAGGCTTCCAGTTTGCTTTGACCACGAACACTACATCGGGGCACCCTCACCCTCCATGAGATTTAGGTAAATTCCTCTGTCTTTGTTGATATTTCTCCAAAAAGAAATGAGATTTTGGACGGAAATGGAAATCCCAGTTTATATAAAGGGAAAGATGAAGTGTTTATGTCCCCATTTGAAGATTTAACCGTAGATTTTATGTGCTTCTTTAGGACAAAGCCTTTGATGGGACGTACAGGGGTCCAAGGCATCGCCGTGCAAGAGAACTGGGCATAATACTAGGTCCTCCGCTGGCTGGACCTTTGAGTCACGGTATCTATATTCTCACCATCCCCTCCTTTACCTTCTAGAATACAGAGAGTAGTAACTACAGTCTGCTTATCGTTTCTGAAACCTGTAGGGACATGAATCCATAGGCCTGTTGGAGAAAGTTCCTCATGTGGATATTCTTTCTGGGACCTGAGAACTAAACACACCCTCAGATAGGGCTAAAGGTTACCAGTTCTACACGAAAATAACATCAAACTGAGGTTTATGTATGGAAAGGATTTTCATCAACATATCAAATTAGGGAGGGTGAAGCTATAGATCATCCTCATATTAATTTACTTATACGCAGTTTTATTCAACTAAGAGAAGGCCGTTGAAACCCCAGACACATGTAGTGGGACTGCTGTGACAGTTTTGGCAGTGCTGGGTAGCGTGTAAGAATATTTACCAAATTGCATGTAAGTCAATTACAGCAATGTGATCTGGGAAAAGCCATTCAGTCTCATAATGAAAATGGTCAGAGCATCTCCAAAAAATGCATGAATCACATCTTGCTTAATGTGAAGGACAGTTCAGGAGGGTGGGGCAGTGAGCGTGACTCAAGTAGAACTTCCCCACAAGGCTGTAGTTTCTAAAGTTGGCAGGAGGCATGGAGGGAAAAGTGTCCTGAAACAACGCAGAGAATGGCCATCCCATCTCTCATGTGAAGTTACAGTCACAAGTGGACACCAGAGACCAGGAAAAACTCGAGTTGTTGAGGGAGCAACTTACATCTACTGTCTAACTTGAGAATACTCCGGCAGGTTCTAATGGCGAACATGGCCCCAGAACGTTCATTACCTTTACCACTTCACAGCACAGCCTTCTTGAAAACCATCAAAGGAAAGTTGCTCTGCAATTAGATAAAGATTTTACATTAAAATCACTCTCCAAACCCAATTCTCTCTGATTTCCAGTTTTAAGACAGCCAAGATTTATTACCAATCCAAGCCTTGCAACATGAATAAGAAGTTAGGTTTAAATTCCAAAACAAGCCTTGTCTATAAAGGGCCCTGGTTTCCCCCCTTTTCTCTTCTGCCGTATTAAGAAGAGACAACAAAGCCTGCTCTTTCCTGTGTGTGTTATGTATCTCTTGCAGCAATCAGAAAACTGGTGTGGGAGGGGCAGGACCCGCGGCAGGTATTTGACCACAGTGCGCATAAGCCTGGGGCCAGGCAGCCGCCCACCAAAATGAGACGCTATCAATAGAAGCTGTACACCATGAATTAAAGACAGTTTCTCAGGGTTAAAAAGAAACAACAGTGTATTAAGTGTGTGCACAGACTTTAATAATAATGATAATAGATAACACATATCTCTCACTATTAGGTACTTGGCACCTACATTCTAAGCACTGTGCATACAATAATTCATTTAATTCTCCCAATCACCCCATGAAGCAGGAACTACTTTATCATCCCCATTTAACAGATCAGTAACCTGACGCACAGAGAGGTGACGTAGAGTGCCCAAAGTCACAGCATATTGTCTATGTGGTAGAACTGGGATTCAGACCCAGGCAGTCTGGCCCAGGATCTGTGCTCTGAACCACCATGATACACTGACTTTAAGATACCTGCTGATTTCAGAAACACTGAAATGTAAAAAATAAATATGTCTCTGAATATATTCATAATGTTCAGGGCCTTTCCTGCTATCTTTCACGATAAGAACATGGCATGTACTTGTATTTTCACTCTTTCTTTTCTTTAGCAAATGGTTGCAGAGGGCCTGCTCTGGTCAAACAGTGCTGAGGGGAATCTGGATGATTCACAAAAGGGCCATCAAGTTCAACTGTGCAGTTCAGCGCAGCACAATCCTCGCAGGCTGCCATTTCCAGGTCAAACATCTTAGACTCCCATTTATTAAAAAGGCAGTTTTCCAACAGTTGGAAGTTCTAGAAAGTGACTTGAGGAAGGGGCGGGTGCCTTTTTCTAATTTGCACAAAGGAGCCTCCAGGCGAGCCACAGCCTGGTTAGTCAACCAGACATGTGCACCAGGGGAGGAAATGACATCCAGGAAGCGGTGGCCTCTGCCTAGAGGGGATCAGCAAAGGGTTCACAGAGGAAACCGACTCAGCAGAGAACGCAGGAAGACGGGCTTCAGATCAGTGGAAACGGAGAGCAAAGGCCCAGCAACAACAAAAAAAACAAACACACACACACACACACACAAAAAACAAAACAAAACGGAAATACAGAAGTACAGGGGAGTGGGAGGGGCTTGAGCCACAGGACATTGGTCGGGAAATGGAGGCAGTTCCTGCTAATAGAGCCCATCCACCCTGAGCTGCTGGGCTCTACCCCGCAGATGAGGGGCTGCAGACAGGAGGCGGACCAAGGCAGCAGGACCAGTCAGAAGACCTAGGACAGAGAGCAAAGTCAAGAGCTAACACTGAGGTTGGAAGAGTATATCAAAAAGGCAGTTTCTTAAAATATTTATTTACTAATTGGTACATGAGCTCATTCTCAAAAGGATGATAGGGCTAACAAGGATGCGTATTTTAGAAGAAAAGAAAAAAACTGAAGAAACAAAGCCAAATAGATAATAATTTTAAGAAAAGAAACAGAGTTGAGGTAAAGTTAGTGCACAAAAATACATTCTCTCATGCACTAGACATTTCTTCAAGGCAGCCAAAGATTTGACACAGAGCTTCCTATCTGCTTGGCAGGAAGGGAAGTCTGAGCCATTACAAGGACTGGAGTGCCCATGGCGTAACAGGAATCAGCAGCTGAGGAGGAATACACTTCCTAATACACCAGGCTGAGAAAGATCTCTCCCATACATGCTCAGCAATGGAGTCTCTGAAGTGGCTAGTGTTGCAAACAACATCCCTGGATCTTTTTTTTTTTACAGTTCACAACTTCCAAAGAACTACCTTTTTTTTTTTTTTTTTAAGTAACATCCCATAATAAAAGCCACAACCACAGTCCAAGAAAAAACATAAGCAAGTGGCCACAACAGCGAGGCCTAAATGGGAAGCTCTGATGGGCTACCTTGACTCAAAGGAGAAATGAGGCAGTCATGACTGACCTGGTTTCTGTGTGTGAAAGTGAGGTGAGGGATTTGGGATTGGGGCTGGGGGGGGCGGGGTTGGGAAGAATGGAGACTCAGCCCCTGCTCCTTTTAATCAGCTTCACCTGATTCACCTGCCGCATCAACTGTCTTGAAGAAAGTGTTCAGCAACCCCCAACCTCACACACAAAAATGCAAAAAGGCACGGCAGAGAACTAGAGATAGATGATAGGCTACCTCCAGGATTGTTCATTCTAGAACTAAGCTTTTGAGAACTGGAAATTTTTAAATTTGATGTGAAAATCTGCAAGAAACTCAAATGCAGTTACTAATGCACAGTTGATTAAGGGAAGATTTTTTGCTTTACAGTTAACTAAGAGGAGGGAAGATTTTTTGCTTTACAGTTAACTAAGAGGCAAGGATTGTGACGCATTTTGAAAATTAAGTTGGTTAGCCACAAGAAGGTAGAACAAAGTACAGGCAAAGCTCTCTCCAGAAAGCAGTCCTAGTAGCTCTGCTCTGACACACAAAGGGTGACTTGGGCCCCAGTGGCTTACAAACTTTCTAGAACGCCTTTCTAGAATCAAAGGGCAATCTGTGAAACAGATGCTGACAGAGCTGCTCCAGCCAGCACGGGACTGGAGGGCCCTCCTGTCTGCCTCCCTCTGAGCCCCCAACCCGATGAAGGTCTGCAGGAAATATCATGAGGGGGATAAATGAAGCAACCAAGGGGTTCAAGCCATAGGCAGGATCTAACCAGGGAAGCATGAAAGCAGTCTGGTGGTACAAATCAAGCTGGGCTGCACATCAGATTCATCTGAAGAGCTTTAAAAAAAAAAACAAAAAACCCAAAAAACAAAAAACAGATGTCCAGGCCACTCCCCAGATGAATTAAAATAGAATCCATGGGGGTGGGATCCAGGCCCAGGTGATCCTAGTATGCAACCAAGCTTAGGAACCAGTGGTCTACAGGAACAAAGCACAGAAAGTCAGTGGTCCGGTGATCCTACAGGGAGTCCTGGGAAGTCAGAGACTAGAAACAGCTCTTCTCTCCGTGCCACACACACCACCTACCCCCATCACATCTTGAGAGATTCAGAACCTGTGGCAGTAAATGGAATGGACTCCTCTTCCCAAGGATTCTGGCACTGGACAAGAGGCAGATGTCCCCAGGGGGCCAGGTCAGGTGGTGGGAACCTCAAGCAGAGATTTGCCAGTCCGTGAGATAAAATCCCTGAGCTTAATAAAAGTTCAGCTCAGGAGGCCCTCACAGTGAGACAATAATCCCAAAACCCAGCTGAGGAAGATGGACCAAACCACAGATAAAAATCCTTGATTTTTAACAGGCATTTTTCTCACACTGTATATTCCTGAAAATCAGGTTGTCTTACAAGCTGCATCTCTGTAGTAAAGGGATTCTTTCCTCTACACCACCATCCCCAAATTGTTAAAACCATGCTTACCTTAGTATGTGGGCATTACAGGCAGCCGAAGTGGAGAAAGGCCAGAAGCCTAGACATGAACCCAGAGCCATGCGACCTTCCCAGCAAGACTCAACATCCCACGGTTCTCTCTAACTCTGGGCTTTGCTAGGGGAGACCCACTCCAGAAATAATCTACACACTCACTTATTTTCCTCTGGATGACATATGGCTGGCCTGGCTTGTCCCACATCTGAGTGACTACTAATACCAGGCACAATGAAGAGTATTTTATATGCACTACTAATATAGTATCTATGTAGGGTAGGTATTTTTGCCTTTTTTGAGCTAGGAAAAAAGCCTCAAGAAAGGTTCTGAAACAGCTCATCTGTTCCACAGCAGAGCTATTACATGCATCTGTCTGATCCCAGAGGCCACGTCTTTTTTCCACTAAGTAACAAAATCCATGTTTCAGACCATAGGTTGCAGAACAATCAGCTTCCCACATAGGTGGTATGTGCTGTCCAAAAGCCAATCCAAAAGTTCACATGTGCCGTCTTATAGGAAGCAAGCAAAGCATCACTATACTGGGAAATGGTTTAATCAATATATCCCCAAGTTGTAATTTTAGGGCTCAAGACAAAACAAAGACATATAAAATCTATTTAGAGACTACAGGAGGAGGAGGAGAGACAGATCTTCCCTGTTTGTTGAATGACATTGTCCATTGGTACCACCTCCTGAGGATTACATATCCTTCCAGCCCTTATAAAATCAAACCATGAGGGGTACGGGAAGAGAAGGGACAGAATCAATGCCTAAGAAAAGAGAGATGAAAAAATTAAGTCAATAGGAATTTAAATTAGAATGAAAGGATAACAAAATCAAAAAGACAAAAATAAGAAAAAAATATGATTTTAAGAAAAAAGTATGAATAGCAAAATTAAGAAATAAAAGGCAGTAAACTTTAAAAAAAGGAATGTATTACACTTGAGATAAGGGAGACAAAAAGGCTAATACCAAAGAACAAAAAGATAAAAACATGGGAGTAAATATATGAGATTAAGAAAAAATTAAAAGAACTTAAATGTTCTCACCAAAAAAAAAAAAAGATAAATATGTGAGGCGATGCATTTATTAATTAACTTGATGGGGGAATGTACACTTTAAGTATCTTACGATTTTATTTGTCAATTATACCTCAATAACAACAACAACAAAGAGGTGATGATGTTGACATGAGGCCACCAGGCTGGAGCTCTAATCCAATGTGGCTGGTGTCCTTATAAAAAGAGAAAGAGACACCAGGGATGCGTGCACAGGAAAAATACCATGTGAAGAGGCAGTAAGAGGGCTACCTACAAAGCAAGCAAAGAAGCCTCAGAAGAAACCAAACCTGCCAACACCTTGATCTTAC